CCAAACGTGTTCCTGAATGGGAATTAAGTTGTTTTATTGCCATTGGAAAGAAGTGGAATAAATCCCACATGTGAAGTTTGAGACTTCCGAGCTACTAAACTCCTCCTCAATTTCACCCGCTCTCAGGTGACCGCCCCCCACCCCGGCCAATTGGGAAGGGAAGGGTCATTATTTTTGGTCAGCCGTGTGTCTGACAACATGAGGAAACCCATCACTATGGTTAAGAGTATCCAATGCGTGCTCTCTCTCTTTCTCTTTCAGGAGGAACACATCCTGCTTACGTAATTCTGGAAAGTATTAGGCACTGATTGGCAAGAGTTGAAGCTTAGGAACCCCAGAGTGTGCATTGGGGTAACTGTTGGAGTCTAACCAGCTAAAACTGCATTACTTACCATTGATATCACTATCTGGCAACCTTTCGCGCTGCTTGTTCAGCTGGGACCACCCTACCCGTTAGGGCTTTGGCGTGCAGGGTTAACAGGAGCTGAGTGGGAGGATTCCCTGCCTCCAGTGACTAGTCTGCTCTTCCAGGTCCTCCTAATGAGCCAGGCTAGGCTGTCATCAGCAGTGCTCCGTAATACTGCGGACCCGCCTGGCTCAGTAACAGGACTAGAGACTGCCACAGTAGGCTGGCTCAATTCTGGCATTCCTTTGGGGGGGGAAGGGGTTTCAAGGCATTTTGTCAGAGTACAGCCCCTTTAAATCTTCAGCACAAATGAGACGAATTTGCATCCACTAGAAATAGATGCCTTTGTCAAAACCAGAACCAGGCAGGGTGGGTTAGCGGGAGTGAGATCATCTTACATCTAAAGTTTGCCTTCCCACTAATTAAAGTCCAGTGAAAGCCTGAAATAAACCTCAATTACTAAGCAACTCTAATTACTTACTAAGCTTAATTACTGATGACCCCACATCAATACAGCACGGAAAATAAAGGGGCAAGGAGGTAGGCGGAGAGAATCTTGCCTTTTAATAATAATAATCCTTGCATTTGATATAGCACCTTCTGAAGATGTCTTAAATTGCTTCGCAGAATATACTGTAAAGTGAATTGACTGTTTATTTTGTAGACGAAACACAAACAGTCGTGGATTGTTACCAGTTTTGGTATCTAATTTATACTGGGAAAGTTTGGCACATCCCATTCACCAAAAACAGTGTCTATTCCAACACTAGATGTAGAGCTGGCAAAATCAGAAGGTTGTTCGTCTGACCTCTATTTTTCAAGGCAGGTAACATAATAGAGCGTCTTATCACACATTGAGGTGGCTCAAAGCGCTTCATGGGATTTTACAATAAAGTGTGGTGATAGTGCATTTTGTGGGCAAACAAGGAAACCAATTTGTGCACAGCGACCTCCCCACAAACAGCCATGAAGTGAATGATGGATCTTATCTGGCGGATTGTTAGCCAGGACACCGGGAGAGAGAAACTCCCTTCTCTTTTTTGAATAGCGCCACAGGATCTTAAATGCCCATCTGAACAGGCACAGATGGGACCTTGGTTTAACGTCTCATCCGGAGGACAATGTAGTGCTACCCTTTAGAGAAAAAAGACAAGCAAAAGAACTTTGAGACACTCTCGATCTGGTAAGATGCTGTATCAAATGCAAGGATTGGGGCATCAGCCTGGACTGTGAGCTCAACCATCTGACCCAGAGCCAGGCTGACACATTCAATGTAGACCATATGTAAACTCAGAGACCCAACATTGGGCTAAGGGCGGTGGGGTGGAGGAGGGGCAGCGACTGTGTACTCTTGTATAAAGGGTCTAAGGGCTGACCCAACCTCCTCAAACCACATTATAGCTGAGATCAATTAGGGTTCAGCTTTGATATAAGCCACAAAAGGCTATTAGATGTTTCTCCTCACACTCCATCAATCAAGCATTTCCGGGGGAGGGGGGTGGACCATATGCACTTATAAAATACAACTGGGGGCTATAATTCTATTTTGCCCATAAAGTAACTGACATTTATTGAGTAAAATGCCTTGCCTCAGGTCAGCTAACTGGAGTAATTTGCATTGATCCAGGCAGGAGGATGGCTTGGTAACTGCAATTGAAACTCTGTAATAATCTGTAATAATACTTACAGCATAATAATAATCCTTGCATTTGATATAACGCCATATCACATCGTTGGGAAGTCTCAAAGCGTTTCACAGAATCTACTGTAAAGTGGATTGTGTATTTTGTGGGCGAAACTCGGTAGCCAATTTTACTGTTAATGCCTTATGCGTCAAGAGGAGGTCTCGAAGCGCTTCACGGGATTTACTGTAAAGTGGAGTGACTGTGTATTTTGTAGCGGATGGGGCAGCCAATTTGCGCACGACAACGTCCCAATTAAAGTTATGCTCTCTGACAAGTCAGCTACACACATGCTCAGACTGTACCAAATGTGGAATTACAGCTTTGTAGTTTCTGATTGAGTTCTCAGTTCATTTTTGTGGCTTTCTTATTGAGTGAGAGAGATACCTTCACATAACAGAGATCAGACAGAGCGAGAGAGAGACACAGAGACATACACACACTATATACACACACAGCGGAGGGGGCCATTCCTGATGGCAAGAAAAAATGGGAGACTGGAATAAACTGAACTCGATCTGTCCGCACTGTCTGGCTGAAAACAGCATTAACACAGAGAGCCCCTTCTGTCCCTCTCCTCCCCCCACCCCACCCCCATACGCACACAAACACGCACACCAATTCTAATAAGATCCATTAGTTAAGAGCTTCTGACAAGTGGTGCCAACATGTCTGATTGCATGTGTCTCTCCAATTTCCCGTGACATTATAGTGACACCTTCTCCCACGTTCCCTCTCCACGCTCAGAGCTGTGGGACACTCACATTCGCAAGATTGCAGCTGAAGTGACAGAGTGTTGACGTACCCTTAAATGCAGCCTGAGCTTACTGTACAATAAATACACTTTGCAGTATGAAGCACCTTGAGACGTCTCAACGATGTGATAAGGCTCGGTGTCAAATGCTCTGTATTTCATACAAAATCTTATCACATCGTTGATAAGGATTAGTTTGTCATTATTAAACACAGCCCAATTTTCTTTCAAGGAACTTAGAAACGATAACCAGAGCGACCGAGGCTTCGGGTGGGGAGGGGCAATAATGGTCAGATCATTTATTCAAGATGTAAAGACATGGCCATAATAGTACATTATTATAATAATAATCCTTGCATTTGGTATAGCACCTTTCATGTTAGAACGTCCCAAAGAGCTTCACAGGACACCGGGAGAGAGAAACTCCCTTCTCTTTTCCAATAGTTAGTGGCATGCGTTCAGGAGGTGACAAACACAAGTGCGGCTTGAAGGTCTATAGTCATAATTCATATTATTATTATGAATTAGTAATAATTATTAATAATAGCCTGGAAATAACCATGTCCACAACCCTCAAGTATTAATCTGGCAGATATCCCTGATGGACAGAGGTGGAATTCAAGGACAGTGAGTTTGCTGGTTCGAATCTCTCTACAGCCCCACTCTCCGCTATATTCCCATCTTCAACAACCAATATTTTGCCAACTGAAGCACTTCTCCACTCCACCACTCTGTGGAGTGGAGGAGCGATGTATCAAATGCAATTATTATTATTAAAAAGGAAGTTCAAAGAGTTTCAGATTTCGGTGATGTGCAGTGACTGTGATTTTGTAGGCAAATTGCCAACCAATTTGTACTGAGCGACATCCCACAGAAATTCCATGAAATGTTATTTTATACTAGTCCTATAATAATAATCTTTGCATTTGATATAGCACTTTTCACGTCTTCTAGACGTCTCAAAGTGTTTCACAGAATATACTGTAAAGTGAATTGACTGTATATTTGTGGGCAATGAGTGGCAGCCAATTGCACACAGCAATGTCCCACGAACAGTCGTGGATTGAAGAGACCAATTTATTATTGTTTTTTTTCATGAGGGATTATTATCAGGCGTGTGGATTTGCCCGAGGTTTCACCCTGCCGAGAAACGAACCCAAATCTCTCGCTTGTGAGGCGAGCGCTCTAACCACTGAGCTACAGGACTCCATTTTGTGACGAAAGGTGATCGACCTGAAACGTTAACCCACTTTCCGCTCTCCATAGATGCCGCCTGACCTGCTGCGTATTCCCAGCAAATTTCTGTTTGTATGATAGCAAGAATTATTATGATGCTTCGACCTTATCTGATCGCATTACCAGAGGATGGTCACAGGATGGCAGTGACGCTCCATCCAAACAGTGAATTTATTTATAATTACATTTAATAATTTATACAATTTAATAAGTTAATTATTTTTAAACGATACATTTTTAAATTAAATTTAATTATTATGACAAAATAAAAAATATAAAATGAAATGTAATTGTATTGAACGGCACATTTCATTGCAATAAATGATACATTGTTCAATTAAATGTAATTATTTAAAATGATAAACTTTAACTGAATGACTGTGATTTTTTACTTGTTATATTAATTGATTATATTATATTAATTGAAATTATTGTATTTAATTGTATTAAATTATTTTAAATGATCAAAACTATCAAAATAAATCACTTTCATCAAAATTATCAAAACGACTACTTTTGTTACAAAGGATATGATTACACGTTATTGTTTCGTGTGATTATTGATTAATTATTGATTGTTGTGCTTCATTCATTGTAATGTGACACTTGGGCTCCCTCCGAGTGACGTCATGACGCTCGCAATCTGAGCGACGTCATGACGCTCGCAATCTGAGCGACGTCATGACGCAGTCGTTCCCTGTCTCTCTTGCTCAGGAAGGCAGCGTGGTCGGCAACGTGATGACGTTGACGTCGTTACATGACGTGATGACCTGGTCCCGCCCCCACTCCTGCTCAGGACAGCGCGGCGGGCGGGTGACGCGCTGACGTTGCCGTCGTTACTGACGTGGTCACCCCTTCGCTTACTCGACGGCGCGGTGGGTAGCGTGATGACGTTGCTGACGCGATGACGCAGTCTCCCCCTCCCTCCCGCCCGCCCTCTTTCTCTCTCGCACAGAGTGTAAAATGGCGTCTCAGTTTCATCCTCAGACGCCGCTGCTCCGTCTTCACCCCGTGGTCCTCTGCGCCGCCGCCGACAGCTGCGAGAGGCGCAACGAGGACTCGCGGCGCGTCATCGGCACGTTACTAGGTCAGTGTCCGTCCCGACCCCCGCCCCGGGTCACCACCACCACCATCATCATCACCATCTGGTCAGTCATCCCGACACATGGACACCCATCATCATGTTCACTTGTCTCCAAACGAACATGTCGCCCACCTCCCCCCCCGCACCCCCCCCCCCCCCACACACACCCACACATACACCTCCCCCACCCACCTCCCCCCACCCCCCCCACACACACACACCCACACACACACCCCTCTACACCCCCCCACACCCCCCCCACACACACACCTCCCCCCTACACCCCCCCACACACACACCCCCACACCCCACACACACACCTCTACACCCCACACACACACACACACCCACACCCCCCACACACACACACACACCCACACCCCCCACACACACTTCCCCCACACACACACACCCATACACACACACACACCCACACACACACCCCACACACACGCCTCCCCCCACACAAGTACCCTCCCACCACACACCCACACCCCCCACACACACACCTCCCCCTACACAAATATCCCCCCACACCACACCCCCCCCACACACACCCTCACACAACTAGGGTAGGAAACAGTGAAGAAGATTGTGACGGACTGCAGGCAGACATACACAGAATGGTGGAATGGGCTGACATGTGGCGGATGGATTTCAATGTAGATAAGTGCGAGGTGATACACTTAGGTAGGAAAAATGATTGGAGGCAATATAGGCTCAGGAGCTCAATCTTAAGGGGGGTGAACATACAGAGAGACCTGGACGTTCAAGTAAGCGATTCATTGAAGGTGGCAGAGCAGGTAGATAGGGCAGTAAAAAGGGCATTTGGTGTACTGAGCTTCATTAGTAGGGCATAGAGTATAAGAGTAGGGGTTATGGTTAATCTGTACAAAACACTGGTTAGGGCTCAGCTGGAGTACTGCGTCCAGTTCTGGGCACCTTACCTCAGGAAGGACATTAAGGCACTGGAAAGGGCGCAGAGGAGATTCACGAGAATGATACCAGGAATGGGGAACCTTAGCTCTGAGGACAGGCTGGAAAAGTTAGGACTTTTCCCATTAGAGCAGAGAAGGTTACACGGGGACCTGATAGAGGTCTTCAAGATCATGAAAGGTTTCGACAGGCGAGATAGGGAAAAGCTGTTTCCGCTGGTTGGTGTGTCTGTGACCTGTGGTCACAGTCTTAAGATATCTACCAAAAGAAGCAGAGGAGAGGTTAGAAGAAATGTTTTCACTCAGCGAGTTGTTTGAATTTGGAATGATCTGCCCGAAAGGGCAGCGAAGTCCGATTCGGTAACAGCTTTTAAGAGAGAAGTGGATAGGTATCTGGGGAAGACGGGTTTGCAGGGTTATGGGGAGAAAGCTGGTGAGTGGGGTTAGTGAAAGTGACTTACTCTGTCAAAGAGCCGCACAGACTCGATGGGCCGAATGGCCTCCTTCTGTGCCGTAACATTCTATGATTCTATGAACTCACCACCCCCCCACCCACACACACAACTCCCCACAACACCCCCCCACACACACAGCCCCCCCACCCACACAACCCCTCCACCACACACACTGGCCCTCCACACACACACAAACATCACACACCCCACACGCACACCCCCCCACCCACACGGCAGTCACACAGACAGGGTGTTAGGATGCCATGTGCGCTCACTCTCTCTCTCCCTGGAGGGACGCCTCCTGCTGACCTGATTCTGGAGAGTATTAGGCAGTGGGTTGGCCACAGCCAAGGCTTGGGAGTGCAGAGCCCAGAGTGTGCCTGGGGGGTGGTGGGGTGGTAATTGCTGGAGTCTAACCAGCTAAAGCCGCGTGATTTACCACTGCCATTGCCATCTGTCTCGCTTTCCCGCCGCTTGTCCAGCTCGGACCCACCAGCTAACCGTTAGAGCTTCGGCTGCAGGGTTAACGGGAGCTGAGAGGGGGAGGACTCTGCCCCCGCACCCGGTGACTGGTCTGCCTTTCAAGTCTTGCCGATGAGCCGGGCTGAGTTGTGCAGTCACCTGCAGGTCCCAGGAATATCGCGGAACCCGCCCGGCTCAGGAACCGGACCAGAGGCCGTCCGTCGCAGCTCGAGTCCGACATTCCATTGGCAAACATGTCAGGCTTCACAATGCAAACTGGGCCTCAACTAACTGTGTGATGATAGCACTTAATGATGATATCCCTGCAATGATGTTACTACGTGAGGATGTCACTGTGATTACTGATGATTAATGGTGATATTAGTATTTATCATTTATTGGCTATTATTAACGGTTAATAATGATTATTGATAAGTATCTATGATTTATTGAGGATTCTTGATAATGTACTAACAGTTAGTGTCACTTAATGTTTATGATTTATTGAGGATTAATAATGATTATTAATGTTTATTGTTATACATGAATTGTTGAGATTATTGACCAATATTTAAGTTTATTGATGTTTGTTTTTCTCTTCAACCGTGCCTTCACCTCCCCTCTCGACTCTCTACCCCCTCCTCGCTCCCTCCCTTCCCTCCCCTCACCCTGACCATTTCCCCACTGCTCGGGTCCCGACCCAACTGTCCAGCGCCTTGGGACCTCCTTCCGATGTGAAAGGCGCTCTATAAATGCAATTTTGTTGTTGTTGTTATCATTTAATGACATGATTGATGATTTATTAACCATCAATAATGATCATTAACATTTTGCTGATTATTATTTGTGATTTATTGATGACTAATAGTGATTATCAATGTTTATAATTTGTTGAGGATTACTGATGTTTTGGTGTTTGTGTTTATTGTTATTTATGATTTATCGATGATTATTAATGATTATGGGTTGGTTGATGATTTATAATGATCATTAAGTTAATGATGATTGATTATGATTTATTAATAATTATGTAATTAACACCTGTCTGTGTGTCTCAGGAACGGTGGATAAACACACAGTTGAAATCACAAACTGCTTCTCGGTTCCTCACAATGAGTCGGAAGATGAGGTTAGAACAGCAACCACACTGCTCTCTCTCACACTTACTCACTCTCAGTCTTTCTCTCTACGTCTCTCACAGAAACAGCCTCGGTCAGTGACAAATGACAATTTGTCCATTTGCAACCAGGCTACCTCTTGTCTCCTCATTCTCCTTGACCTCTCTGCTGCACTGTCGATCTTTGTATCCTCCCCAGTCTCTCTCACACACACTCTCTCTCAGTCTCTATCTCTCACACTCTTTCTGTGTCTCACACACTCTCTCTGTCTCTCAGGTCGCCGTTGACATGGAATTTGCTAAGAACATGTACGAATTACACAAGAAGGTGGCTCCAAATGAGGTTATTGTTGGCTGGTGAGTAATGGAGAGAGACTAAGGAACAGCCAGAGAGAGTGAGGGAGCAAGAGTGTGAGAGAGACACAAACAGAATGAGACAGACCCATACCCAAATGTACACACATAGAGATAACACACACACACACACAGAGACAGACAGACAGACAGACAGACAGACAGACAGACAGACAGACAGACAGACAGACAGACAGACAGACAGACAGGACAGGACAGGACAGGACAGACAGACAGACAGACAGACAGACAGACAGACAGACAGACAGACAGACAGACAGACAGGACAGACAGACAGACAGACAGACAGACAGACAGACAGACAGACAGACAGACAGACAGACAGACAGACAGACAGACAGACAGACAGACAGACAGACAGACAGACAGACAGACAGACAGACAGACAGACAGACAGACAGACAGACAGACAGACAGACAGACAGACAGACAGACAGACAGACAGACAGACAGACAGACAGACAGACAGACAGACAGACAGACAGACAGACAGACAGACAGACAGACAGACAGACAGACAGACAGACAGACAGACAGACAGACACAGACAGACAGACAGACAGACAGACAGACAGACAGACAGACAGACAGACAGACAGACAGACAGACAGACAGACAGACAGACAGACAGACAGACAGACAGACAGACAGACAGACAGACAGACAGACAGACAGACAGACAGACAGACAGACAGACAGACAGACAGACAGACAGACAGACAGACAGACAGAGAGACAGAGAGAGTGAGTGAGTGAGTGAGTGAGTGAGTGAGTGAGTGAGTGAGTGAGTGAGTGAGTGAGTGAGTGAGTGAGTGAGTGAGTGAGTGAGTGAGTGAGTGAGTGAGTGAGTGAGTGAGTGAGTGAGTGAGTGAGTGAGTGAGTGAGTGAGAGTGTGTGTGTGTGTGTGTGTGTGTGTGTGTGTGAGAGAGAGAGAGAGAAAGGGAGGAAGAAGGGGAGAGATGCGGAGCCCCAAGCGAGGTGCAGTGACTGTTTCTCTCTGCTTTAGGTATGCCACAGGCCATGACATCACTGAACACTCTGTGTTGATCCACGAATATTACAGCCGAGAGGCTCAAAACCCGGTACATCTAACAGTAGACACAGCTCTGCAGTCAGGACGGATGGATATCAAAGCATATATCAGGTTCGTTCATCACTGACTCCCTGTTGCTCTCCCAGGGACAGGAAACTGATCGTTAACACTCAGGTGCTCTTGTTTGCTATCCATCTCCCTTCTTGCACCGCAATCCATTCCCTGACACCCCAAGTTTCTATCCATTTCCCTTTTGCACATCAATCCGTCTGTTGACTCCCCCAAGTCTCTATCCGTCTCCCACTCACACCTCAATCCATCCCCTGACTTCCTAAGTATGTCTCTCTCCCTCTCTGTCAGTCAGTCTCTCATTCTCTCTCTGTTAGTCTATCTCTCTGTCAGTCTCTCTCTCTCTCGCTCTCTGTTCTCACTCTCTCTCTCTCTCTCTAGCACTCCGATGGGTGTTCCAGGTAAAACTATGGGTCTCATGTTCACTCCTCTGAATGTGACATACGTTTACTACGATACAGAGCGAATTGGAGGTAAGTGTCTCTTTAACTTTTTCTCTCACACTCACTCACACTCACTCAGTTGACGTGACACAGAGAACCCTCACACTCTCAATCACACACTATTCTCTCACAGTTGACGTGATACAAGGATTATTATTAGAGAGAAAGATAGTGTATGTCTCTCACACACTATCTGTCTCACTCTCACATTCTGTCTTTCACTTAGTCTCTCAAACTCTCCCTCACACTCTCTCCCACAGTTGACGTGATACGGAGAACCCACTCTCTCACACACTTCTCTCACAATTGACTTGATACTGGGAACACACTCTCACACTCTCTAACACACACTTTCTCTCTCACAGTTGACGTAATACAGAGAACACGCTCCTCTCTCACTCGCACCATGGGTTTGACCTCCGACCTCCAGCAAGTAGGCGTGGCCGCTTCTCGAATTCTGGAAATGTTAGTCACCATTCTCCAGTACTCGGAGCACGTTCTGGTCAGTCTCTCACTTCCCTCGCGCTCTCTCCCCTCGCACGCTCTCTCTCACTCTTCCCTCATTCTCTCTCCCCTCTCTCAGTATCTCACACTCTCTCTGACTCAGTCTCTTTCTCACACTCTCTCACAGTCAGGGAAGGTGACAGCTGATAACAATGTTGGACGCTTTTTGATGGATTTGGTGAATAAAGTTCCCCGAATTTCAGCCGAGGATTTTGAGGCAATGCTGAACACCAACGTCAACGTGAGTAACTTTCCTCTCTCTCCGTCCCTCTCTCCGTCTCACGCTCTCCGTCTCTGGCTACGTCTGTCTCTCTGCCTCTCTCTTGTCTGTCTCCTTTTCTCTTTTTATCTGTCAGTTTCTGGGGGGTGAAAGGGGCTATGTAAATTTTAAATTGAATGAAATCTCTTTTGACAGGATTTATTGATGGTGACGTATCTGTCAAACTTGACACAAGCTCAGATAACTTTGAATGAGAAACTGGTAGCTTTATGAAATCATCACCTATGTTCTCTCCACTCTCTGTCTCATGCTTTCTGACGAGAGACAGAGAGAGTGTCTAACCTCTTAATAAACTCGAGTGTTTATATGTGACTGAATTATAGCTGGTTCCATTTATTTGGCTCGTTCTCTCACACGCACTCTCTATCACACGTACATCTCCCCTTACATCGCTCCCATCGTCAGGATCGACAGAGAGAAAAANGAAACCGAGAGAAAGATTAAAGAAACAGAGGGAGACTGAGGGAGAGAGACTGACAGAAAGCAAATTTTTTGAGAGATTCAATGATGGATAGAGAGAGTGACTGAGATGAAGAGAGAAACACAGAAATCTTACAGCACAAAAGGAGGCCATTTGACCCATCGTGTCTGTGCTAGTTCTTTGAAAGCTTCCATCTAGTCCCATTCCCACGCTCTTATTCTATAGCCCTGTAAATGTTTCATTTTCAAATACTTATCCAATTCCCTTTTGAAATCTATTATCGAATCTGCTTCCACCACCTTTTCAGACAGACAGTGCATTCCATACCGTAATAACTGGGTAAAAAAATGTCTCCTCGTCTCCCCTCTAGTTCTTTTGTCAATTATTTTAAATCTGTGTCCTCTGATTACTGACCCTGCCAGAGGAAACAGTTTCTCCCTAACCAAAACCCCTCATAAATTTGAACATGTCTATTAAATCTCCCCTCAGCCTTCTCTCCTCAGGAGAATAATCCCAGCCTCCAGCTTCTCCACATAATTGCAATCCCTTCTCTGGTATTATCCTTGTAAAGCTCCTTTGCACCCTCTTCAAGGCCCTGACATCCTTCCTAAAGTGTGCTGCCCAGAATGGAACACTACACTCCAGCTGAGGTCTAATCAGCGATTTATTAAGGTTCAACATAACTTCCTTGCTCTCATACTCTTATGTCTCTACTTATAAAGCCGAGGATCCCATATGCTTTAACAGCTTTGTTAACTTGACCTGCCACCTTCAAATAATTGTGCATGGGAACCTCCAGGTCTCTCTGTTTCTGCACCTCCTTCAAAATTGTACCATTTATCTTATATTGTATCGTGGGAATGTGATGAGTCTGTACCAGAACTATCTCCTCTTTGAAGGCCTCTCATTGCTTGTTTATTGTTTTACCTGCCAATCTTTGTTTCCGATGCACATGGGCCAGATCCCTTTTTAACTCTCTGAAAATAGCCCTCTTCCAGCAGCGTATCTTCACCTTGGATTCCTTATCCCTTCCATAACTACTCTAAACCTGATATTGCGATCACTGTCATCCTGATGCTCTCTCACTGACACACTCTCCACTTGCCCCACTTCGTTCCCGAGAACTAGATCCAGCATTGCTTCCTTCCTCGTTGGGCTGGAAACATACTGATCAAGAAAGTTCTCCTGTACACATTTCAGGAATTCCTCCCCCTTCTTGTCCTTTAAATGTTTTTTTTCCGAGTCTATGTTAGGATAATTGAAGTCCCCCACAATACTCTATTGTTTTTACATCTTACTGAAATTCGCTTGCAGATTTCCTCTTCCATCTCCTTCCCACTATTTGGTGGTCTACAGTATACGCCCAGCAGCATAACTGCTCATTTTCTGCCCCTGAACTCTAACCAAATAGATTCTATACTTGATTCCTCTAGCTCAGGCTGCGCCAACCTTTTTGGCTGCCGTGGGGTGGTTTCCCTATTTGAGAAAGGTCCTCTTTTCCCACATTTTGCCCACAAAATACACAGTCAGTCCACTTCACAGAATATAACGTGATGGGCTTTGAGATGTTTCAATGATGTGATAAGCGCTGTATCAAAGGCAAGGATTATTATTATTGAGAAGAACTTATTTAGCGCCCTTCACGGTAGCACCTGGGAGAGCTATAATTCAAATAATCCCCTGGGCTGTGTTTGCTAATTCAGGTGTCTGTATAAAAGATGACAGCAGCTCCGATTTTTGGGGCAGTGGCATTGTTACAGATATTATTTAAATAATCCAAATAATTTAACAAGAACAGATTGATATTTCACCGCCACCTTCAGTTCCTCTCGAAAGTGTCACAGCATAAATAATAATAATAATCCTTGCATTTGATAGAGCGCCTTATCACATCTTTGAGACTGGTCAAAGCGCTTCACAGAATATACTGTAAATTAAATTTACTCTAGATTATATTGGTGATGATTACTGTTTTTAAGATTTTTAATTAGTATGCTTTTAAAATATAAACAAACACCTATAATCTGTTTAGTATAGCATTCCTTAGTTGTTAGGGCATGGACCTAATGTGAGTTTTTAATGACTAACTTAGGGTCCCTGAAAGGGTAATTAGCATTAGCAAAGTTAAAAATATATTGGCTTGACCCTGGCTGAGATCAGGCTCTGATAAGTTTCCTTCGCTCGGTGTTTGGGTCGACGTCATCCTCCTGTATAGGAATTGAGAAATTATGTCCTTGAGCATATAATTGTTAAGATGTGAAAACAAGGAAACTCGGAGAGAAAAGCGCACTCCTGGAAATCTGATTAGCTCAAGACGAAGAAACAGGAATCCTCCCAATTAGCTGTCCATATCTCTCCTTATCAGTTATTTTCCCAGGCAAAAAGAGCCTGCGAAGGATGTGGTCTATCTCTGTGACCAGGGGAGATGGAGTTAGAAACACATAAAAGATGAAACTTTGGAATCGTTGGAATCATCATAGGAGGAACAGTTGTGAGGCAGCTGGTGGTCAGCAACTTCCCCAATGGAATCGGGTAATATCGGTTTTGTTGAATCTTATCATAAACATAACATAGGAGCAGGAGTAGGCCATTCAATCATGGCTGATCTTCTAATCTAATCTTCTAATCTAACTCCAGCTAATACCATAACCCTGCCTTATGACCTTATGCCTTATGCCTTATGCCTCATGACCCAACTGTGCAGCGCCTTGGGACGTCCTCCTGACGTGAAAGGCGCTCTATAAATGGAATCTTGTTGTTGTTGTTGTTATGCCCATATCCCTTAATCCCTTTTGCGATAAGAAATATATCTATCTCAGTCTTGAATATGTTCAAGGACTGAGCGTTAACAGCCCTTTGGGGTAGCGAGTTCCATACATTCACCACCCTTTGATTGAAGAAGTTCTTCCTCAACTCAGTGCAAAAGGGTTGGCCTCTGATTTTAAGGTTGTGACCCCTGGTTTCAGTTTCTCCAACCAGGGGAAACAATCTCCCACTATCTACTCTATCATGCCCTTTAATGATCTTATAGGTTTCTATAAGATTCCCTCTAATTCTTCTATATTCTAGAGAATATAGGCCCAAATTGGTCAGCCTATCCTCGTACTCATCCCCTTCATCCCTGGTACTAACCTAGTAAATCTACGCTGCACCCCCTCCAAGGCAAGTACATCCTTCCTTAAATAAGGAGACCAAAACTGCACACAGTATTCCAGGTGTGGTCTCACCAGGGCCCTATACAGTTGCAGCAAGACTTCCCTACTCTTATACTCTAATCCTTTCATAATGAATGCTAACATACCGTTCGCCTTCCTAATTGCTGCTGCACCTGCAGACTAACTTTCTGTGATTGGTGTACAAGGACACCCAAGTCCCTCTGGACACTAACACATTCCAATCTCTCCCCTTCTAAAAAATAACCCGCTCTACTGTTTTTGCTACCTAGGTGGATGACTTTGCACTTCCCTACATTATACTTCATCTGCCACCTACCTGCCCAATCACCTAACCTATCTATGTCGCGCTGCATTTTTTTAATGTCATCCTCTGTGTTGACACTTCCTCCTAGTTTTGTGTCATCCGCAATTTAGATATATTAACTTCGATGTCCTCATCTAGATCGTTGATGTAGATGGTAAATAGCTGAGGCCCAAGGACTGATCCTTGTGGCACTCCACTAGTCACATCCCGCCAATCTGAAAAGGACCCGTTTATCCCTACTCTTTGTTTCCTACCCGTTAACCATTCCCCAATCCACGTTAATATGCTCCCCCCAGTTCCATGGGTCCCTATCTTTTGGACTAACCTTTTATGCGGCACCTTATCGAATGCCTTCTGGAAGTCCAAATAGACCACATCCACTGATTCACCCTTATCTAAATATTCTCTATGAGATTTGTCAAACATGACTTCCCTTTTGTAAAGCCATGTTGACTTGGCCTAATTATATTGTGCTCCTCTAAATACCACACTACCACATCCTTAATCAATGATTCTAAAAATTTTCCTATCACTGATGTGAGACTAACTGGCCTATAGTTCCCCATCTTTTCCTTTCCACCTTTTTTAAATAGTGGTGTGACATTTGCGATCTTCCAATCCATGGGGACTGTTCCAGAATCCAAGGAATTTTGGAAGATCAGACACAAGGCCTCCACTATCTCATAAGCTACCTCTTTTAAAACCCTGGGATGCAAGCCATCCGGACCAGGGGATTTGTCACTTTTTAGTGCTAACAGTTTCCCTAGCACCAATTCTCTACTAATGAAAATTTCCCTAAGTTGCTCCCTGTCCTTATCCCTTGGTGCATCTCTATTGTTGGCAGACTTGTTGTGTCTTCTAGGGTGAAGACAGATGCAAAGTACCCATTTAGGGTCTCTGCCACGTCCTTATCCCCCATTACAACTTCTCCCTCTCTGACTGAAGTGGACCTACATTTACCCTCACTAGCCTATTCCTCTTAATGTATTTGTAAAAACTTTTACAATCAGACTTAATGTTCCTAGCTAGCTTACCCTCATACTCCTTTTTCTCGCTCTTAATGAGTTTTTTAGTTTTTTTTGCTGGTTTCTAAAACTCTCCCAATCTTCAGATTTGCTGCTTTTCTTGGCAGTTTTATAAGCTTTTTCTTTTATGCTTTTTCTTTCTCATCCCTTTCCCTAACTGCTCTAGTTAGCCACGGATGAATTGCTTTCCCTGTGGTACTCTTATTCCGCAAGGGAATATGCGACCGCTGAGAATTATGCACTACATCCTTAAATATTTGCCACTGTTGGTCTACATTTTTACCTCTTAATCTTATTCTCCAGTCTATTTTACCTGAATCTTTCCTCATACCTACAAAATTAGCCTTGTTTAAATTCATCATACTTGCCTCGGATTTAACTATATC